AGCAACTGCGTAGCAACACCCTGGCAACAAATAAGAACACACTTGATATTGCATTGCAACATGCTAAAAAACATTTAGAAAGCCTGGCAACTGAATAAAAACATGCTTAATACACGATATAAACCACATAGCAATGCCTTAGCAACCATCCAAAGCACTATGGCAACTGCATAGCAACAGCCTGTTGACCAGTCAGAACACACTTGATATTGCATTGCAACATGCTAAAAACCATTTAGAAAGCCTGGTAACTTAATAAAAACATGCTTAAAACACGATATAAACCACATAGCAATGCCTTAGCAACCATCCAAAGCACTATGGCAACTGCATAGCAACACCCTGTTAACCAGTCAGAACACACTTGATATTGCATTGCAACATGCTAAAAATCATTTATAAAAGCCTGTGGCAACTGAATAAAACATGCTTTAAACATGATATAAACCACATAGCAATGCCTTAGCAACCATCCAAAGCACTATGGCAACTGCATAGCAACAGCCTGTTGACCAGTCAGAAGAACACACTTGATTTGCATTGCAACATGCTAAAAACCATTTAGAAAGCCTGGTAACTTAATAAAAACATGCTTAAAACACGATATAAACCACATAGCAATGCCTTAGCAACCATCCAAAGCACTATGGCAACTGCATAGCAACACCCAGTTAAACAGTCAGAACACACTTGATATTGCATTGCAACATGCTAAAAATCATTTATAAAAGCCTGGCAACTGAATAAAAACATGCTTAATACACGATATAAACCACATAGCAATGCCTTAGCAACCATCCAAAGCACTATGGCAACTGCATAGCAACACCCAGTTAAACAGTCAGAACACACTTGATATTGCATTGCAACATGTTAAAAAACATTTATAAAAGCCTGTGGCAACTGAATAAAACATGCTTAATACACGATATAAACCACATAGCAATGCCTTAGCAACCATCCAAAGCACCATGGCAACTGCATAGCAACACCCTGGCATCCAATAAGAAAACCCCAGCTACTGCATAGCAACATCCTGGTAACCAGTCAGAACACACTAAGAAAACTCCTTCTTTACGACTAAAAAACATAATTTGCTTAATTTATTAAACATTTTTCAAATGAAGACTCGCCCAAATTGAAGGTTTTATTGGATTTACCTCACTTCTGGGAAAGATTTTGTTCCCAATAATAACCATAGTCAAGCAAACCCACACAAACACACTTTTAAATGACAAAGTACCTTAGATTTAACCCTTGTGCTGCATTAGATTTTTAACACCGTTGAGTGCATTAAGGACCAAAAATGGCCACATATTAAACATTGCCTAAAATATTATATATTATTATTATTTTCCACTTTTACCAAGTTAAATCTTTTAACCAGCATCAGTCCTCATCATAACTACCAAAAATTTATTCAATTTCAGGATTTTAACCCTTTAATTACCAGTTTTGTTTGCGAAACCATCGATTTGTATAAGAGGAAAAAACACAAAAATTCAATTATTTTCAATAAACTAAATGCAAAGAGAAAACTTTAGATTTGGATTATCACAGTCCCACTTTGCAAAAAATCCCACTTAGCGCGTTAGAGACCAAAAATGGCCACCTATTAAACATTGCCTATTGCCTAAAATAAGGTGCATTTCCACCCATAGGGAATAAATATGTAGTGACGTCATCTGGTGGAATACACTATATAATGCAAATATAATGCTTTTGCTTCAAAATGAAAGGATGTTTGTGCAAAAATCATGTTTCATGTATTACTGACAGCCTCAGATTTAAACAACGTTTTAATGGGTTTCAATGGGCCATTTTTGGTCTTTATGGTTCTGAGTGTTACTATTTGATCTACACAGTGTGTGTTATACATATTTGGCAAAATGGGATCACATTTTTTACATGTATCCAAAAAGTCACAATTTTGCCAAATGTCATACCATTTGCATTAAAACAGCCAAAATGGTCAAAGAAATTAAACTGCAAAAGGCCAAAAATGTCCCTAATGCAGCATAAGGGTTAATGTTTTTAGATAATGCCCATTAAATTGACTACAGTACCAGCTTTAACACAATAACAGAAAACTTTATGCATGTTTAGAATGTTAAAAATTGCCAAAGACAGATTTAGTCAGTTTTAGCTCACTTCTATACACATCTAAGTATAACTAAGTAAACCCACCCATCCCACACACACACACACAGAGAGAGCGAGAGAGCGAGAGCGAGTCAGGCAGCATCTGGAAGTTGGTGAAGCAGAGAAACCACAAAGTCAGAGGTCATACAATGAGAGACATTGATTTCTCATTTTAAGTTTATTCTGGTTTTACGGATTAGCAGGAAGGCCTAAATATCCAGAATACGCGTTTTTCCTTTTACTTTCACAGATGAACTACTACTACTTCCACTTAAAAAACCTTCCTGCACCCAATCAGTTTTGAATTCACATGCTGGTTATGATTGGTTAGTACCAGAACTGAGCTGAACTAAACTAGTTAAGAAGCCAAGAAGAAAGAGACACCCGCATCCAAGTCACATAAAGACATTAAATGTTCAGAGATTGATACAGAAACATTGACCCAACCGAGTTTAGGATCAGGACTATCTATAATCTGTGGGAATATTTACTTCTGTATCTGGTGATTTTATTTCCACGGAAATGACACACTTCATCGTTAAAAGATGTGCCGTAATGAACACAAACATGCACCAAAATAACACACCGCTCTGTTTTCCACAGAGCATCCCGTGTGTCCTAATTTAACCCTGAACTGTTCTACTTTAGGTCATGTTCACTCATGAGGGAAAACAGTGGCCAGCGGCAATGGCATCATGCGAACAGAGAGCCCTGGGGACGTGTGTGTGTGTGTGTGTAGAGATGGTCTTCAGAGAATATCAGCTCTTGGTTGGAACCGCACAGATTTTCCAAGAAGTCAAAAACCCTGAAGCTTTCTTTCCACCAGCAGCAGCACACGAGAACCTCTCAGACAATCTCTGCCGCTCTTTTCTGAACGTTTAACCTTGAAAGGTGTGCTTTTGATGTGTGGGAACTTTAGTAAGTGGTTAGACAACTAGTCATTTAGTCCACACATTCACATTCAAGTCACGTGCACTGTAAAAAAGTATTTTTGAATATCTAACCATTCTTAAAGGGATACTCCACTTTTTTTGGAAATAGGCTCATTTTAAAACTCCCCAGAGTTAAACAGTTGAGTTTTACCGTTTTCGAATCCATTCAGCCGATTTTCTGATATTTAGAAGAATGGTCTCATTGACTTCCATAGTAGGAAAAAAATATACTATGGAAGTCAATGAGACCAGAAACTGTCTGGTTACTGATATCCTTCTACATATCAGAAAATCGGCTGAATGGATTTGAAAACGGTAAAACTTAAAAGTTTAACTCTGGGGGAGTTGTAAAATGAGCCTATTTCCAAAAAAAGTGGAGTATCCCTTTAAATCAAGATACATTTACTTCAGGAGCTAAATGGTTAAGTCTTGTTTAAAATTTAAACGGTCAAATTTAAGTGAGTTTATGATTTAAACTAGAATAAATACCTGCAAATGGGGTCCGAAAAATAAATCTAATTCAAAGGGAATACATGATTATTTTTTCTGACAACACTGAATGATGTTTTGTTCTTGTTTTAAGCACAAACTCACTTAAAGGGATAGTTCACCCAAAAATGAAAATAATCCCATAATTTACTTATGTGAAGAGTTATATTATCAAATATCTTGGCTCTTCCATGCTTTATAATGGGAGTGAATGGTTCCTTCGTTTTTTCATCCATCATTAAAGCAATCCAGGGATTAATAAAGGAAGCGAAGAAAAATATCCATGTAACTTTAGAAACTATAATCACTGGCTTCCTGTAACTAACAACCGTACGCGAGTCTAGTCCCGGCGGAAGAGTGACCTCTGACCCGACGCATGACGCATTGATGAAATCCGATGCGCAGAGGATCGGGTAAAACAAACACCAGAGTCTAAAATTATTCAAGGGAAATGTGGGAGGAGCTTGAATTTGTTGTTTGAACTCTCACCTGAGTTTACGCTACTTCTACATTCTACGTCAGGTGTCAGGTCAGAGGTCACTGATAATGCGTGGGGTCAGAGGTCATTCGTCACGTGTCGGGTCAGAGGTCACTCGTCATGCGTCAGGTCAGAGGTCACCCGTCATGCGTCGGGTCAGAGGTCACTCGTCATGTGTTGGGTCAGAGGTCACTCGTCATGCGTCAGGTCAGAGGTCACTCGTCATATGATGGGTGAGAGGTCCATCATTATGTGTCGGGTCAGAGGTCAATCGTTATGTGATGGGTCAGAGGTCACTCGTGGGGTCAGAGGTCACTCGTCATGCGTCAGGTCAGAGGTCAATTGTTATGCATCGGGTCAGAGGTCAATCGTTATGTGTAAGGTCAGAGGTCACTCTTCCGCCAGAACTAGACTCGCGTACGGCTGTACCGGAAGCCAGTGATTATAGTTTATATATTATAAATATGGATATTTTTCTTACACAAACGCATGGCTTCAGAAGGCCTGATTTGAGTCGTTCGGATCACTTTTATGATGCGTGGATGCGCTGTTTTGGGCTTCAAAAAGAGCCAGGTTATCTTTTAATATAAATAAATAAATAAATAAAGAAAGAAAGAAAGAAAGAAAGAAAGAAAGAAAGAAAGAAAGAAAGAAAGAAAGAAAGAAAGAAAGAAAGAAAGAAAGAAATCAGAGTCATATACACCTAAGATGGCTTGAAGCTGAGTAAATGATGGGAAAATTCAATTTTTGGGTGAACTAACACTATAAATTTGATACATTTTAAGAAAAATATGTTTTGCAGTGCATGTAAAGTGGATTTAAATTGAATGTGAATGTCTGAACTCGCCTAAACACTGTTTAAACACTCCGTCCCACACATCAAAAGCACACCGTTCATGGTTAAACATCCAGAAAAAGTGCATCATCAGCAGCGTGATGTGCGTGTATCCGGGACTCACCTGTGTCTTGTCTGAACTGATGCATGGACTGCAGGTCAATGACGTACGGCGCGAGCTGCGGATCCACCTGTCCCAGTATGACGGTCCCGCGAGCGTCTCCCTTCAGGACGTTTTCGATGTGATGACAAACGGTGGCACTGTACGGCCTCCATCGGCCGTGTTCGTTCATCCATTCCCAAACCACCACCCGCGCCATGCTCTGAGACGAGTATCCTCCTCCTCCTCCCAGCGACGCCAGAACCCCGGAGCCGGGTCGAGCCATGGGAAGAGCGGCGTTCCGGACAATATGTGCTCCAAAAGAATGTTCTTAGACCGTGAACATTCCCAATTCTTCGTTTCTGCTGAAAGAACGACCACAAACAACACGAGCCGCTGTGGGAGTCAACGCACGTCCTGCGGAAAAACCAGTTAGGCTCCGTTCACATGAGGGATTCGCCCATGTAATCGAGTTTGCACGCATAAACTAGATTAGTCTCTAGTATTCCAGCTCTGGAAGTAATCATGCTCTCCAAAGTAAGTAATCCAGAACAGATGATCTGAGATGTTAGATCTCGTTTTGACGCTCAGAGGATCTTGTAATCCTGCAGTCCAGTTTTCTGGTCCGCTGTCAGACAGAGTCTGAGTCTGAGGAAACAGATAGAAGAGAGAGAGAAAATCAACTGAAGGTCACACTGGGGGAAGATTTCTTACCAATTCTAGACTGTTGATCCCAAATCACGTGATAAACATAGTTAGAAATGCAATCTCTTACTCATTTTAGGTTGATGTTTGCAATCAGACTACTTTTTCAGACCAACATGTTCATCACATTGTTAAAAAAAATTGATATAAAAATACAAAGAAAATATATTCCATTGGCTGAACGTATATAAAAAGTGACCTTTTTTAGAAAGTAAAATTTAAAATAAAGTAGAATCAATGAATTGACAATAACATGTAATCATGGAATCAATAGAAATAGTCTTGATTGACAAGCATTTTTAAATGTAATATAATCTAATTACAAGTACACTGTAAAAAAATATTGATGGTTTAACTTAAAAAAGTAAGTAACCTGGTTGCCTTAAAATTTTTAAGTTGATTGAACTGGAAAAAGTGAGTTAATACAATGAAGGAGATTAATTTAACCATCAGAAACTCAAAATAATAAGTTATCTCAACTAAATAAATTATTATAAAGTTGATTTGACAAAAGAAAATATGTTGTGATAACAGTGTATTTTTTACAATTTTACAGTGTAGTTAATTTTTGGAATCGGATTACATAATCCAGATTACATGTAATCAGTTACGAAGCCACACAATAAAAAATAAAGGTAATTGCGACCTTTTTATCTCAGGAGGGGGGAAAAAGTCAGAACAGCGAGATAAAAGTCGCAATTATCTTTTTTTTCTTCTTCAATTATCGATTTTGTTTCATTGCCGGTCAAAATAACTAAATCATAATTACTTAATCATTGGCTGAATAAAGCTAATGCAAGCAGAAACATTGATGACCTTTCTTCACAAGTGACCTTTCTTCACAGTTACACCAACTAAATTAAAATGTGTTATTGCTTTCATGTAAAATTATTCAGTTTTATTTTAAACATGAAAAAAGTAAGGCTAATTTGTTTTACAATTGTCTCAGGTGCATTATAAAGCAGTGAAATGCATACATGCATGGCAGGGATTTGTTTTAATTTAATTTAAACGCATTTAGATATTAGTTATACGATCATATTATTTTATGCAGCAGTTATAATGTTTTAAAACGCTGTAGTTCAGTGGGCAATGCTGTGAATCTCATCTACTGATGCCACATGCAGATCTGTAGGAAATCATGTCAGACATACGCATGTGAACATGAGAGACTGAAAACACAAATAGAGAGATATCCCTCCCTTTAATAACCCCTAATGAAAGATCCCGACCAGTGATCAATAACTCATCATAAATCCCAAATAAAGCCTTCATCTGTTCCTCGCGTCGCCGCGCGTGATGATGTGCGCGCAACCCGAACCCGCATCTATGGGAAATCAGCGCATATGTGGCCTCAAATCTGCTCTACTGTAACCCAGTTCTAGCCTCAGGTCCATGTAAACGTGTTGAGGAGCCGGTTCTGCTCTCGATTCATCTTCATTTACGAGCAAATGCGCTCGTTCTTCTCCATTTGAGCTCGGGATCCGCGTCTCCTCTTGATTCGATTCGATCAGAAACTCATCAGTGCATCACACCGGATCAGATGGGACGATTTTCTCCACTAAAAGCGCTTCACGCAGGTCCAGTCTTTCGTCAGTACTAGATATAAAAAGGGAAAATGCGCGCTCACTGATCTCTAGGAATAAACTGGACACACATGAGCCTTTTAAATTGGCTCCTCCGGACTACAACATCGTACATGCATTCGATTTGGTTTTATTTCATTTGAGGATTCACCTCAGAATGGAGGCAGAAATGAGGAGAGGAATCAGTCACCTGTGATGTGAAGCGTCTCCGCCGAACCGTGACGATGAACCGGAGGTTTGATCCAGAAAGAAAAAAAAGGTCGCAAAAAACATCTAACCGGCCTCAAGCGAGAGGCTGAGCAAAGAAAGTGTTTGTAGATCAGATTCCCGACACGAAATGAGCAGAAGAGGGTCAGAATGCACCGTGTTCTTCTGTGCATGAGCTGTATTGGCTGTTGCTCATGTTGTGCGCATCCTCCACCGCGCGACTGTTGCTCGTGCGCGCGCGCGTGCGTGTGTGTGAGCAGCTCTATTTACCTGAACATGGGAATTTCAGCATGAGAAAATCTGCTTTTCCGTTCTGACGATTGCACTTTAGAATAAAGAGGAACATTATCATGGTCATATTGCATATTAAAATAAATTACACTGGGGAAAAAAATGATGCAGAATCCATTTTAACTCTAGTGAAATGTCTAGTGAGTTTCATTGATTACAAAGAAATGGGAAGTAGCCTAACATTAAACGTGAAATTTTAAGTAGCAACACTGAAATAGTATTTTCTTGTAAGGCTTTAGTCCAATTTTACTACTTCAAAAAAATCCCTTTTACAGAACATTACTAAAACAACAGCAAAAATATTATTATGTGAACATCACAATTGTCAACTATAGTTAAAATCATCACAGCATGTTTCAATCTCAATACTAATTTTAACAATTAACACATTTAGTTAGCAAAAAAATACTAACATGAATAGGCCTAAACAAGAAATAATTGCATTTTTATCAACTATCATTAAGAATAATAGTTGCTGTATTTGATAAACAAGAACTTATTGTAAAGCGTTTATCATTTTTGGATCATTTTATAAGAATTAATATATTTTTAACCGTAAAAGGGGTGACGTATCCTGGGGGATACCAACATTAAATAATCAAAAACCGAATTTAAAAAAAAATAAAAAATCATGAAATTGTTTTATTTGTGTCATAATAATATGGAAAATAGCAATTCGGGAATTTTCTGATGTCTGTTTATGGTCTTGAGCTTTTGAGGGTTACGCAAGTGTGTTGTTGACAGGCCTTAATGGTCAACACGTCTGCCATTAGTTTGACACAAAAGTCCACTGACGCCGAGTTGAACTGAATGTGCAGTTTATTTAGATCCCAACAAGAACTAAACACAACAGACATGAACTAAACACAATAAGCAATAGACTTGAACATGAACTGAACTCACCGACAGCGGTAAAAGGGGACACGGGTCACATACGGGCTATATACACACACACAACACTAATGACTAACCACACACACCTGAACACAAACCAATACAAACGTTACACGATCACATGACTGTTAAGGGAATCACATGAAAAACAGGAACCGTGACTAACTACAAAACCCCAAACATCTGTTTTATAAGAGCTTGTTTCAGTCACAGCTTATTGTCAGAATTTTGAGTTTATATTATATTATTTCTCACAATTGTATGTTTTTATCTTGAAGTTCTAACAGTTTTTCCAAGAAGTGTGACATAAACTCACAACTGCAAAAAAAAATAAATAAAAAAAATGTGATACTAAAAGTTACCTTTTCTACTTTTTATTCCATAGAGGAAACAAGATTTCATAGTTTTATAAGAGAGTTAAAAAAATGTTAAAAAAGGAAATAAATCTAGGTCTATAGTAAAATCATAAAGAAATTTAAATGACATTAAAAAGCAAAATTTTATACTTAAAATACATAATGTTTAAAGCTTATATTTAAAAAAATATATCATAAAAAATAAAATTATATATATATATATATATATATATATATATATAATACTGTAATTTCAGGCCTTTTAAAACCAGGACCAAAAATTTTAAGAACATAAAAGAACATATTCATTGATCGGTTCATGATCAATGCATATTTCAATGCATATATATCAATGTATATATTATGATGATGATTGGAAGATGTCTTTTTTTCAGTAAAAGACCCAAATACATCATATTAATGTAATAATACTGTAATTTCAGGACCAAAAACTTAGAACTGAGACAACATTAACCAGCCAATAATAACCAGACTAAACCTCTAATAATGATTTTATCAAGTTGAGTCATTTATTTGTACGCCACTTTTCACATCATCACACCTTTTCCAAGCAGCTTTATATAAAGTCATACTGTTACTGTATGTCTATAATCGCTGTGCAATATGATGACATCACATAACTTTTATTTAATATCTACTCAATTCAACATTTATTAGTTTAAAAAGAACATGCCAAATCCCATCTGAATAAAGGACTTATATTGCAATATTGTTTTTAAGTTAGTCATTTTAATGCCACTCTCCCTAGAAATCATTCACAGTGTTAATTAATGCAGATTTATGATGATAAAGTTAATGAACTGACTCCAGGTTTGTACCAGGTCTGAGTTACAGGAACAGTGTGTGATGAAAACATAAAGAAAATGTTGTTATACAGCCAAGTAATATATCCATTCGTTCAAAATCGCATTCAGAAAGTTTAACGTGTCCACATAATAAAACAGTCCTTTGAGGAATAATCAACATAAAACTAATCAGCGACTGCACGTTCATCAATCCTGCTGTGAATGAGTTCATCTAACACACAGCGACCTCTAGAGGACATCTACTGTACTGCTCAAATCAACAGTTGCTAATGCTAACTCACTCTAGCATCACTTTGACCACAGAGGTAAGAGACTGTAGTATTAGTTTTGAAAACTTATTTTTATTCTTTATGTTTTAATTCTATTTGAGGGTGTATGATTTGTATTTGCCAAATTGTTTTTTTTTTATAGATGTTTAGATTATCTTATTTAGATGATGTTTTAAGTTTGTTCTTTATTTGTTGTACAGCACTTTGGTTTCAACATCTGTTATTTTTAAATGTATGAATGCAGGATATATATATATATATATATATATATATATATATATATACATATATGGGTGTGTGTGTGTGTGTGTGTGTGTGTGTGTGTGTGTGTGTGTGTGTGTGTGTGTGTGTGTGAGTGAGTGTTGAGTGTTGTGAGTGTATGTTTCGTATTGAGCATTGATGGAACAACAGATTTTGTGTGAAAATAAATCAAGTGGTTTGTTTGTTTGTTTGTTTGGGCATTTTACCCCAGACAACTAGCCCAGGCTACCTGCCATCTGCATCATAAATTCATAATATATACATTAAGGTTTTTTTACTTTAAAAAACGAAATAAAATCATTCTCTGGCTTACCTGGTGACTCGATGAGGTACAAGTAAATGTCCGGGTAAGTCACCTCTGGCCACTGGGTGGGGTTGTTTGACCAATTTGACGCTGGGAGAATAAAGGGACAGCTTCATTTACGCATCATGTGGCTGATGATATGCCTCTCTCAACCACAAACGCCTTCTTTCATAATTTTTTTTTTTTTGCATTCTTCTCTTTAACGTTTGTCAGTCTATAGAACTCGAAAGGTATTTTCACGATGCGAACGATTAGTACAGACCAAAACTCATTTTTCAGCTGAAATAATCAGCCAAATTTGCGAGTCCGTTCAGTTCAATGGCATTGTTTATGTTCTGTGCCTCCAAAATGGCCGACTTCCGGATTGATGACGCGTCGTGAAAACCCTGTATGCTGTATGATGCTAATTTTTTTTTTTTATCTTATTTTGTTTATTAAGTAACGAGTACACGAGTTAGATTTGGAAAGTGCGAGTTGTGAGATACCAATCGCCTCCGTGAGTCTGTCTGGCCTCTGCAGCCCACTTAATGTTTTAAACTTTTCAACCTGAGGGCTTAAAAATAACGATGAATTCTTAGATAAATAGCTAGGTCTTCACTTTGGAAGTGCCCAGAAACATGACAAAAAAATGAACACCCACTCACACCACATCAGACTTCCATTCTGAAATCCGCTCAGTAACTCCTTTAACTGTCTGCTAACTCCACACTGCAGGATAAACACCAGGCAAGGTTTTAAACGCCGCAGTAACTTCATCCAGCCACTAGAGGAGGCCATCTCACTCCTTTACTTATATTTTCATTTAAAATAACGGCTGAAGGGCTTGTCATGCTCGAAGCGGAGTAACCTGGGAGTAACCCCTTGCCTCGAGTATCTTATTGCTTTTTTAAAACGGTTACCACACAATAAAATTATTAAAGTAAAAAAAAAATGTATTAGTGCAACTTTCATGAAGTAAGATCACTAAAAGCCTTCCTTCCGCTAGAAAAAAATAGTCCCTGATCGTGAACAGCAACAGCCTCCTCTCTCTCTCTCTCTCTCTCTCTCTCTCTATATATATATATATATATATATATAATTATAAATATATATATATATATATATATACAAGAAACACACACACATATATATATATATATATATATATATAAGAAACTTTGCATCAAATAACAAGAAACTAGTTAACGCTGCTGACCCAAAGTTGGGTTAAAACAACCCATTTTAGAGTGTGTTCTTTATATTCACAATATAATCCTGAACAATCATATGTCTCAGTTTCTGCAAACCTTTCAACATTGATAATAATCATTATGTTTCTTGATCATCAGATCCTCATATTAGAGTGATTTCTGGAGGATCATGTGACACTGAAGACTGGAGTAATGATGCTGGAAATCACAGGAATAAATTACACTTTACTATATATTCACATGGAAAATGGTCCTTAAAAAAGTGTAATAATATTTCAGAGTTACTGTATTTTTGGATAACTTTGGATAACTGGTGAGTATGAGACTCAGAATAAGACAGAAAGAGAGCAGAAAAGAGATGTGTTTACTGCGGCTTAAGCAAACTTTTAAACATTTAGTGGAAGAAGTGAAAGGTGAATTGTGCAGTGTGTGATTTATGAATAACCATCCCTGACATCAAGAGCACGACAGAACCTGAAACCACGAGAGAGAGAAATGAAAGCATAAACTAAAATAGCTAAAAATCAAGCTAACAAAAATAACTAAAAAGAGAACAAAGGAAACGGCGAGTCAAAGTGGAAATACAGAAACTGACGGAGATTCAGTTCAGAGAAATGTGACCCGCATTTGATGAGTGTGTATGTGTGTGTGTGTGCTTTTATTCCCATGGGAAGCAGCTATTTTTACCTGACTGTCAGGAATGAAGCAGAACGACAGATGAAAACTGATAAAGGCAGTAAACGGGTATGAACCACCAGGCTAAATTTATTTTTGCAATATTTTTGTCTTTTTTTCATGCTCTCAATACATTCAGATACAAAAATTCAGGATTTCATTTTGTTAAAACATCTTTTCTTTGAGATCAAGAAGTTTCAAATGTTTAAATAAAATTAAGTACTATCAAACATGCGTAACTTTCAGTTCTCAACTCTAAAATGTAGTAAGTGTTTAAAGATTAACATTAAAAGTGTATTAAGAGGAAAATTAAATGTCTTTAAGGTTTGTTTTTTTGTTTTTGTCTGAAGTTTTCAGTTTTAATATTCCAAATTAATTAATTAATTTTCCGAATACAATGAGCCCTTATTTTAAAAATCAATGACAATTCCTCCTGAAATGCTTCCCTTAAACATCGTATTCCTACTTTTACTTTAACATAACATGCCAACACACTATAATTAAATAATTTCTCACATTTATGAGTATAGCGCTGTCAATATTTAATGGATTTATCAGTACAACCACAGTGATGTATGATAATTCACAATGCACATGTAAAACGGAAACAGTCTTAAACGTAAAAACTTCAGTGGCGGCCTTAAATTAAGTCATTTCAACTAAAATGATATAAAACTGACTAAAAATTGAGCTGAATCTCATGTAACTTATTTTTAAAAAGCCAAAACTTGTTTAGTAATGTTAAAGCATAAGTTTAACATTATATTTAATAGGGGTATCAGCTAAATTGGGCCACTATTTGGTAAATCGTGGGACAATAATACAATATTTGCCATTTCCATGTGTTTTTATGATTAATAATGACTGTTTTTGATAGATTTGTGTTGAAATCATTTAATAAAATATAATTATTTAGGCTCTACAGTTCTTGAAACATCAGTTGTGCCAATAACTGGTAAAATGGGCCAGTCAAACTGCAAAGGGAAATAGCAATTTATCATCAATTTTAAAACACAATTTCTTCTACAGCCACATACCATTTAAACTGCATTAAACAAACATATTTCATATGTGACATTTAAAAACAAAAATGTGTGTGTTTGTGAGTGGCCCATTTTACCTGATATCACACTCTAAAAAATGCTGGGTTGTTTTAACCCAACTTTGGGTCAAATATGGACTAACCCAGCCGTTGGGTTAAATTTTTACATTACATTTTTAACCCAACATTTCGGGTTTGTCCATATTTGACCCAAAATTGGGTTAAAACAACCCAGTATTTTTTAGAGTGCACCCTAATAATAAAAACATGCATATTTTTATCTCATAATTCTGACTTTTTTTCCCAGAATTGCACGTTTATAGGTCTATATCTCACAATTCAGAATGCATAACTCACAACTAGGTTCCATAAGCATGCAAATCATCTTAACTGATGAACTGCATCACTTATTGTGACAGATGAATCCGAGGCTGCTGCCATCACCGCGCTCAGATCACGCGTGTGTGTGTTCCTGGACAGATCTTTCATGGCGCTGTAGTAAACACATCTTCCGGCTCGGCCCTGTCGGTCTGACCTGCGCTTGCAGTCGCACAGCCTCTTGAAAGCAGCGCGAAACTTCTGCGACATGGCGTTGTAGATGATGGGGTTGACGGCGCTGTTGGTGTAAATGCACATGCGACAGAAGAGGAGGAACCAGGTGTTGAGATACGGCGGGTCCATGAGCGAGTTCACCACCACCAGAGTCCGGTACGGCATCCACAGCACCGCGAACAGAACCACCACCACCGCCAGCATCTGCGTCACCTGACGGACAGGACAAGAGAGAGAAGACATTTATTTATTCATTTAATTGGGGAAAAGCATGTTGATGAACATTAGTAGCTATGAAATAAATGTAAGCCTGATTATTGCAACATTGCTAATTTGCATCATAAACTCTCAGAAAAAAAGGTAGGGTACAAAAGCGGTAATATTTATACTAATATGCACACTTTTGGTACCAATCTGTACCTTTGAGGGACTAATATGCACTCTTTAGGTACAAAGATGTACCTTTTGAAAAGATTCTGAGACAGTGACAGCTTTTGTGCCTTTTTTCTGAGAGTCAGAATAATAGAGGTCAGCACAAGGTCACTGTGCAGTTTTCAGTTTAAGACATTTGTATTAAATAAATAAATACAAAATAATACATGCATTTTTCCATTGTGTATACTTTCTATAAAATTTCATACATATGAAAATAAATATATAAATATTTTCTTTATATTTTCTAGACTTACAGATGAAATGTATTGTTATTTATTGGCATTTATTGTCTATTTATATCAAATAAATTATACAGACATGAAAATAAATATTTAAATATTAATAAATATGTTTTCTTTATATTATCTGTTTATTATGTCAATTTAAGGTAAATAAATTGCATATGCATTAAAATAAATCAACATTAAAATAACTAATGATGTTGTTTAACTCAGTCTTTGTGCAATGTAATACTATAATACAAATAAATATTTAAATATCAATAAATGTTTTTTAAATATTTTCTGTTTATGTCAATACATTTCATATATGTATATATACGTATTATAATTTTTTCTTTATATTTTCAATTTATTACGTCAGTTTAAATCAAATAAATTACATAGACATGAAAATAAATATAAACTGTTTTCTTTCTTTATATCTTTATATTCTATAATAGACATACATTTGACACACACACACTGTGTTTATTAAAATTCTAAGTTTCAACTTGGATTTTTGAGTCATCACAACAAAAAAGACGCAAAATTTTAAATTGTGATAACTAATTAAAAAATCATTCTTTATAAGTGTTTTTTTTCTTTTTATTTCTTTCCTTCTTTCTATCTTTCTTTCCTTCTTTCTGTCCTTTCATTCATTCATTCATTCTTTCATTCTTTCTTTCTTTCTATCTTTCTTTCCTTCTTTCATTCATTCATTAATTTATTCATTCATTCTTTCTTTCTATCTTTCTTTCCTTCTTTCTGTCCTTTCATTCATTCATTCATTCATTCATTCATTATTTCTTTCTTTCTTTCTATCTTTCTTTCCTTTTTTCTGTCCTTTCATTCATTCATTCTATCTTTCTTTCCTTCTTTCTGTCCTTTCATTCATTCATTCATTCATTCATTCATTCATTCATTCATTCTTTCTTTCTGTCCTTTCATTCATTCTATCTTTATTTCCTTCTTTCTGTCCTTTCATTCATTCATTCATTCATTCATTTATTCATTCTTTCTTTCTTTCTATCTTTCTTTCCTTCTTTCTGTCCATTCATTCATTCATTCATTCATTCATTCATTCATTCATTCTTTCTTTCTTTCTTTCTTTCTTTCCTTCTTTCTGTCCTTTCATTCATTCATTCATTCTATCTTTATTTCCTTCTTTCTGTCCTTTCATTCATTCATTCATTCATTCATTCATTCATTTATTCATTCTTTCTTTCTTTCTTTCCTTCTTTCTGTCCTTTCATTCATTCATTCATTCATTCATTCTTTCTTTCTTTCTTTCCTTCTTTCTGTCCTTTCATTCATTCATTTATTCATTCATTATTTCTTTCTTTCCTTCTTTCTTTCCTTCCTTTCTTTCTTTCTTTCTTTCTTTCTTTCTTTCTTTCTTTCTTTCTTTCTTTCTGTAGAATGATAGACAGATCAAACCTGTTTTCTGGACGTGGCTGCACTGTTAGTTTTCCAGGACACCTTCACTGAACTCTTTCGTCGGCTCTGATGGACGGAGAGCCTTTGCTCGGAGAGATTCGACGGCAGCGGATCTCGAAACAAGACCCTGGCGATCAGACCGTACAGAACCGACGCCACGACGAGAGGAACCACATAAAACAAGGTGAAGTCCAGAAAGTAGATGGGCATATAGAGGTTCCTGGACACCCGATAGCCGCAGCGGACCACGACGCCGTTCCCATAAACCGTCTCATTGGTGTCCACCAGGAAAAACCACATGATGCAGTACAGAGACGTGAAGATCCAAACGCAGGCGATGATCTTCTTGGCTCGGGACACGGTGCAGATGAACTGGGCTTTGATGGAGTGGCAGATGGCGATGTAGCGCTCGACGGTGAAGGCCGTGATGGAGCAAGACGAGACGTTGATGCCCAGATACTGCAGGAACGTGATACAAACGCAGCCGGCGTATCCGTAGATCCACGAAGCCACGACCTCGGAGATGTTGGGCAAACCGGCGGCCAGGAGCACGGTCAGATCGGCCACCGCCAGACTCACCAGGTAGCAGTTGGTTGCGGTCATCATGTGCTTGCTACGGATCACCACTAAAACCACCATGGCGTTCCCGGCGATTCCCACCCCGCAGATCAGCAGAGACAGAGAGATGGTGACCGCCTGAACCTCCAGCGGGTTCTCCGGCATCGTGGAGTTTCTGTCGGGATGTGTCGAGGTGCTGTTATCCGTCGTGGCGTTTCCCATTCCAGCCGTTTCCAACCAAACCCAGGAGAAAGTTTGAGAACAGTGAGATTAAGTGCACACGTCTGAGAAGATATGCTCACGGAGATACTGGATGATCCAGCGAGAGGAAAACGAGGCGACTTCTTCTCCAGAGAGATGCTGCATCTACTGAGAAAACAAGCCTGTGTCTTCTTCTCTCCTCCTCCTCCTCCTCCTCTGTCACTCACTACCAATGAATCCTCTCTCTCTCCTGATTCTTGTCGAAAGCTTTGTGTTCGGTTATAAATACACTCTAAAAAATGCTGGGTTGTTTTAACCCATCTTTGGGTCAAATATGGACAAAGATAGCCATTGGGTTAAATGTTTAAATTACATTTTAACACAACATTTGGGTTTGTTCATATTTGACCCAAATTTGGGTTAAAACAACCCAGCATTTTTTATACTGTAGTTAGTTAAATGCATATTTAAAGGGGGCCTATTATGCAAAATTCACTTTTATCAGGTGTTTGAGTTTAGATGTGTCCACAGTGTGTAAACAACCAGCCTATAAAAGTGAAAATCCACCCACTCCCTTTTTGTATAATCCCATGAAATAAATGTAATTAATGTAGGAATATGCTGAAAAAAGTCGTTAAAGAGTTACAATTTTGCACTAATTATTTACACTGGACTGCTTCACAAATGTGGGTCAGTTCAACGCTGGATTTGCACAAAAGTTAATCACAAAAGATTAACCTGACTTGCATGCTAGTCAATGATGCTAGTCAACTTAACTCCACACCTACTACATAAATGCATCCACTAACCTTTCAGAAACGTTCAGTTGCATTGTAAAAGTTGTAACTTCTTCCCGAGTCTCTCCATCACTGTCCGACAACTTGTAAAGCTGAACACTGGTCCGCTACTGATCGTTTCTAACATTTTGGCTGCGTGAGATTCTCCAGTTTTGTTGTTGCCAGAGCACGCGATGCACGAGCTGTAAAGGCTCCGCCCTCTTCTGGAAAAGGGGCGGAGTGAAGCAGCTAAATTGCATTTAAAGAGACACACAAAAAGAGCATGTTTTTGCTCACACCCAAATAGGAGGAAATTTGACAAGCTATAATAAGTGATATGTTGAGTAGTTTGAGCTGAAATTCCTCAGATATATTCTGGGGACACCAGCGGTTATATTACATTTTGTAAAATGGGCCAATCATTATGAATTTATTCCCTAATATTAAATGTTCAATGACAGGAAGATTACTGAGGTAAAGCAGGCACTTGTCAGCTCTCATGAGATATCAGCCGTCTGGAAGATAAAACAGTTTCACAAATGTGAACATCTTCATCTCATGTGAGTGGACATTGTTTTAAACAGATTTTACATAAGTACTAAAGATATTTCATCATATACTCACCCTCATGTCGTTCCAAACCTGTCTGACTGTGGACCACAAAAAAGATATATGAAGAGTTCAGATGCAAAAGCCTCTAAATGCCATTTGAAATTTTCTTCTTTAATGATGATTTTTATCAAACTTGTATATTTAAGTTCAGTAATTTCACTTAAATAACAATTAATAGGTAATTATCATTGCCATTTAAGTGAAATTACTGAACTTAAATATACAAGCTTGATAAAAATGATCATTCTAGAAGAAAATTTCAAATGTCACTTAGAGGCTTTTGCATCTGAACTCTTCATATATATATATATATATATATATATATATATATATATTCTTCAAATCTTCAAATGTAAATCATGAATGTTAGTCTGAAGAGATACTCTGATATGAGACCCAGATCACAACTCTGATGACCAGCTGATCTCCAGTCTGATATTATATAAAACACGGCAGGATCTTTAAATGTAGTAGATTCATCCAGCCACAAGAGGGAGCCATCTCACTTCTAATACTTGAAAAACTCATTTAGCAAAACATGTTACAGCTACCCAACCCAACTAACTTACTGTAAGGGTTTCAAGAATAAAATATAAAATATGTACACAAAAATGACAAATCACAATGAGATTAAATCTGACTCTCACCCCTGGTTTAGTCCCAGACTAAAATGTATGTTTGACCCATTTTAACTGAAAGCAACTTGCACCTGTCTTAAAATATGTCAGTGCCATTGTTTAGTCTCAAGATGCACACCAGTAATGTTATTTTCTAAGGCACGTTTATAAAAGCTTAAATGCCCTAGTTGAAGGTCTGATCTTGGCTTAATCTAAACCCAGTCTGTGAAACCAGGCCTCAGATTATTGTGCTGATGTGGTTGGAATGATTCGTGGTTGGCTGGTCTTAGCTAGTTTTAGCTGGTTTTAGCGGGTTTCTGCACTGATTTGAGTGTTTCTGGTACTTTAAAGTGGCTGAGACGTGGTGTTGAAATCATGCAGGTAGAATGCTGACACAGGTAAACCAGTGCTGTATCAAAGCTGGTGTGGTTAGTGTGGTGGTTGTAGTGGCAAGTAATGGCATATTGAGCTCAGTGTTGTCTCGGGGAGATCGCTGGATCTGTTTGCGTGCCGTGCGCCGAGTGTCGGAGTGAGATGAGCTAGTCGCGCTGGATCTGTTTTGTCCGGTGCGATGGTTTCTTTCACGGTGAAAAGGTTTCTTCTTGAGGTCTCGGAGAGTCTCGGGGAAGAGTTGGAGATCGTCGCTGAAGGCGTATGATCTGATTTCCAATAGCAGAATTCCAGCTGATATACTGCTGGCTTTCATAACTCTGCGCAATGGAAGTCCATTGCGGCTTCAGCGCAAAAAATGTTCGACTTTGTTCCTAGCTTTAGACCTAGCTTTAAAACCATGTTAGGGGCAGTAGATTATGTGTCAATGTCAATGCCTGCTCTCTGCTCGTCTCCATCACCCTTTTTTCATTTTTTTTTCTCGGTCTCCTCATCTTACCCCGTCTTTTCCCCTCCCAAAGCTGAGCTTTTTTAATTTACTGAAGGCTAAAAATTGTATTAAAGTTCTCGATATGTACACATTCATTAGTTACATTTGTTAACATGAACTAATAATGAACTACACTTCTACAACATTTATTTATCTTAGTTAATGCAGTGAAACATAATTAAAATCAAAAGTTGTGTTTGTAAACATGAGTTAATGCACTGACTGTGAAACAACATGAACAAACAATTGCCATGTGTATTATTATTAACAAATACAGTAACACATGTGTTGCTCATGGTTAGCTAAATGCATAAATAATAAACAAATCAACCTTATTGTAAAGTGTTACCATGAAATCAAAGATAAAAATTCCTTACAATTCAGAGTTGGACATTGACTTAAGATTTCATTTCACTAGATGTATTTCCCCAAGCTAATAACACTTGCCTTGGATAAAAACATTGTCAGACTCAGAATGCGGCTGAAAATGAGTTATACTTTTGTAGTTCAGCATAACTCGCATGCTGCCGCAACCATGGTAGGATAAATAACGTTTCCATATTAGCTTAACGTTACCCACCATTACTCCTGTAGTTTGAAGACTCGTGCTGGTAGAAACTTTAGCTGGACCCGAGAGAGAACCGATGAACTGCTGCTCCAGAAGATGCTCAATGTCAGCTAGAAAACACACACACACAAGAATAACAGTAAATAAATATCACTGATTTAATTTCGTTAGTTTGATGATCTCCTTCCTGTTTACTGCTCAAACAATGTTCACTCATACATGCTGAGAAACACATTATTAAAGTCAATGAAATACTGTTAAAGAAATGAAACAGCGACTTATCTGATATATCGAGGCAGATTTGGCAGAAGTTTGTACTTTGTAGCCTCAGGAGCAGCAACCAACAAAACCAGTGAATCTTTCATCTTCACACACCTGTTGAATATAGTATCAGAAAACAAGATTGTTCAGGCATTCAAGATTAAAGTTGTTGGCGCACTTGTTGGTTCTGCGGTATATAACTATGCGGCAATGTGATCAAGACAAAAGAAACAGTTCACAAAAACATGTAAATACGGTCATAATTTGGTAACACTTTACTTTTATGGGGTGTGCATAAGACTGACATGACACCTTCATAATCATGGCATGACATATGTCTTGAATATGAAGTTTATGCATGTTTATGACAACTGTCATTAAGTGTCATCCGCTCAATTATGACATTTTGAATGCAATGAATGACACTGTGCTCTGGCCTTCAGTAGGGATCTGCGCAGCGCAAAAAAAATGTTCGACTTTGTTCCTAGCTTTAGACCAAGAAATAGCTTTAAAACTAACACTGTCAATGTCAATACCTGCTCTCTCCTTATCTCCATCACCCTTTCTTTTTCCTCGGTCTCCTCATCTTACCCTGTCTTAGATCTATCACTCATAATTTTCATCTGCATAAAAAACTCATCAACACGACTACAGTCATATACAGTCGACGGTGCTTTCGGTGGTGGCAGGAATGAAAGAGGAAAGAGAAGAGATTAATAAAAAGAAGAAATCAATAAAAAGAAGAAATCAATAAAAAGAAGAGGGCAGGGCCAGCAATGATCGGATGAATTAAACAAAAGTTGTGTTGTGCTTGTGTTGAACCATACAGGAGTGTGTGTTTACTGATGGATTTTGCACATGAAAATAAACAGACCTGTATTACAGGTTCTCATAATGAGACACACCTTTTTAGAGTGTCGTGGCATTTTGTGCTCGTCACTACCGAAGTGTGTTTTGTAACAGGATTGTATCAGTAATGTCGTATTTTGTTGGATATAGTGGACTGAATCTTACTGAGGACCGTGAAAAGGGAGAGTAAATGAGGGACTGAAAAGGATGATGGGATACATGAGGGTGGTCTGAGCTGGTTTGTATAGTGCTTTAATGGCTGAGATATTGGCGAGTCAAACTCGTGCTGGTATAAACTTTATCTGGACCCGAGAGAGAACCGATGATCTCTTCAACAGCGGCTCCAGAAGATGCTCAATGTCAGTTAAGAAACTGCAGACTGACTGAATGTATCGGTAGGTCTCAATACGAGATGTCACTGTGAGGGAATGAAATTTCGCAGTGAAATGCAGCTTCTTTTCCCTTTTTCCGTTCATATCAATGAAATTGATCAACATTAGGCAAACCACATCAGACGCTGACTGTCCAAACGTGTTCTGTGTTACAGCATCAGGACTGAATCAGCCGGCATTATAAAGGAGTTTTACAACCCAAAGTTCATCCAAAAGCTCAATCTCAGCGGCCCAAGAACTGACAGGCAAGGGAACTTTCAGTCCCATCACATTCCTCATTATTCTCGCTCATGACAATGCAAAATAAGAATCTTCTCTCTTCTGTTGAACGTCATTGATACTGAAGTTTGTCCAAACGGCTGTAGTTTCTGATGCCAGTTTCCATACAGACATTCAGACGAATGGACCGCACCAGAGAACTGTCACATTCAGTCATTTGAATAAATAAAAACACTAAACACAAAATAAGTGTACATTTTTTTTTTTTTTTTTTTTATTCTTTACATTCGTTTTTGATGATTAAATTTCATTTTTCGAACGGACAGAGGCTCAGAAGGAACGGACACAGGCTGTGTCAAAGATTGAAATCCAGCTGAAAACAAACCACTGACACGGGTAAACCAGTGCTGTATCAAAGCTGGTGTGGTTATTGTGGTGGTTGTAGTGCCAATAGCATATTAAGCTCAGTGTTGTCTCCGAGCTAGTCGCGCTGGATCCGTTTTGTCCGGTGCGATGGTTTCTTTCACGGTAAAAGGTTTCTTTCTTGAGGTCTCGGAGAGTCTCGGCGAAGCGTAGGAGATCGTCGCTGAAGGCGTAGCGATCTGATTTCCAATAGCAGAATTGCAGGTTATATAGAGAGATGGCCCCTGCCCACTTCGGCAGCGCTTTCATAACTCTGCTCAGAGCTGCTTTGTGTTGCGCGTATTTAGTGTTGTCGCGTCTTTAGTGTTGCGCTTTTTTTTTGGTGTGCTTGTGTCTAAAATTATGTTAAAAGAGAGAAAGTAAGCAAGCTACATCCTGCTAATTCAGTGTTAATGAACTAATTGTTGTTGTTTGTTTATTTATGTTAGTTGCTAATTCAGCATTTAGTGAAACATAATTAAATCAAAAGTTGTGTTGTAAACATGAGTTAATGCACTGACTGTGAAACAACATGAACAAACAATTGCCATGTGTATTATTATTAACAAATACAGTAACACATGTGTTGCTCATGGTTAGCTAAATGCATAAATAATAAACAAATCAACCTTATTGTAAAGTGTTACCATGAAATCAAAGATATAAATTCCTTACAATTCAGAGTTGGACATTGACTTAAGATTTCATTTCACTATGTATTTCCCCAAGCTAATAACACTTGCCTTGGATAAAAACATTGTCAGACTCAGAATGCGACTGAAAATGAGTTATACTTTTGTAGTTCAGCATAACTCGCATGCTGCCGCAACCATGGTAGGATAAATAACGTTTCCATATTAGCT